ACTTTACATGTTTATAGTTCATTTTGTTTTAAAAGCCCATTTTCTACCTAACCTCTCTTCACTTGTTTTATGAGCTACGCAAATTCCCGAGCCTATCTAGCGAGATCACTTAATGGCCATAATTAATGGCTTCCATTGCAGAGATTATACATTCACATTTCTTATTCCATGTCACTTGCACAAAGTCTCAAACCATAGTATAATTACATAAACGTTACATTTTCATGGGTTTTTATACATGTATATTTTCTTTTTGTATTAATGATAATATTCAAATCCAATTTTTGAAAATCGTAACTTAAGTTCCCTTCAAATATTCAATTGGGCCTTGTCATCTTTTATTTGAAAGATATATTTGTTAAATAATATGTTTCATATAAGACTGAAAATGAAAAGGACTAATCAGTCCCTTATTTTGCACTTTTTGATATCTTGATATTCTTTATTTTCATCTCATTTTTACATTCAATGACTTTTCCCTAGATAATAATAGATCTTTTGGATATTTTTCTTTACAACTGTCTGCAACTATCTTCCCTAAGGGTTAAACAGACATGGCTTAATTTTCATTATAGTATCTTTCAAAAAACTGTGTCCACATAAATGTCATATTCTTCTCCCATTCTTCAACTGTTTCAATATCATTTTTTTCACATTTTACAGCGTTACTTGACCATTATTACTGTGCAATGAAAACAGAATAGTCACCTTTTATATTGATAGGGTAACTAAATTTGTGATAGGGTAAATTACCGTAATATTTGATAATGATTTAGAAGTTTTTATATTGTTTATTTTTACAGCAGTCACAAAAAGACTAGCATACAGATTCTTACAGCAGTATTATGATTGTACTCTGTGTTCAAGGTATTTTTAGCTCACCTGTCAGGGTGAGCTTTTGTGATCGCTTTTCATCCGGCGTCCGTCCGGCGTCCGGCGTCTGTTAACCTTTACTTTAAATGACATCTCCTCATAAACCACTAAGCCAATTTCATCAAAACTTCACAGGAATGTACCTTTGGTGGTCAACTTTGAAAATTGTTCAAAGAATATAATTCCATGCAGAATTTTGGTTGCCATGGTAACCAAAAGAAAAAACTTTCGATATCTTCTTCTAAAAAACCCAAAGAGCTAGAGCTTAGATATTTGGCATGAAACATCTTCTAGTGAGTGTCTACCAAGTTTGTTCAAATAAAATCCCTGGGGTCAAAATTGGCCCCGCCCCAGGGGGTCATTGATTTTCCCTATATGCATATAGTAAAAACTTAAAAAATCTTTTTTTAAAGAACCCAAAGAGCTAGAGCTAAAATATTTAGCATGAAACATGTTCTAATGGATGTCTACCAAGTTTGTTTAAATAAGAGCCCTGGGATCAAAATTGGCCCCGCCCTGGGGGTCATTGATTTTCCTTATATGTGTATAGCACAAACTTGAAAAACTTCTTTGAAAAAAACCAAATAGCTAGAGTTTAGATACTAAGCATGAAACATCTTCTAATGAGTGTCTACCAAGTTTGTTCAAATAAAAGCCCTGGGGTCAAAATTGGCCCTGCCCCTGGGGTCATTCATTTTCCTTATATGTGTATAACAAAAACTTAAAAAATCTTCTTTGAAAAAACTCAAATAGATAGAGTTTAGATATAAAGTACGAAGCATCTTTTGTGAGTGTCTACAAAGTTTGTTCAAATAAAAGCCCTGGGTTCAAAATTGGCCCCGCCCCGGGGGTCATTGATTTTCCTTATATGTGTATAGCAAAAACTTAAAAAGCTTCTTTGGAAAAACCCGAATAGCTAGAGTTTAGATATTAAGCATGAAACATTTTCTAGTAAGTGTCTACAAAGATTGTTCAAATAAAAGCCCTTGGGACTCAAAACTGGCCCTGCCCCAGGTGTGTCATTGTTTTTAACTATATGTGTAAAAGAAAAAACTTGACCAGCTAGACCTTAGATGTTTAGCATGAAACATCTTCTAATGGGTGTCTACCACGTTTGTTCAAATAAAAGTCCTGGGGTTTAAACTGGCCCCGCTCCGGGGGCCTATATACAGGTGAGCGACTTCAGGGCCATCATGGCCCTCTTGTTAAGATAATGATTATAAAAATGTATCATCCAAGAATATATGAACAATGTATTTATTTATATAGTTGAAGTTGCCAAAACTAAACAAAAAAATGGATTTGGTTTTACTTCTAGTAATAAGACAATATAGAGCTAATTATGTATGGGGGAAAATGTGTAAGATGCAGGGTAGCTAAGTCTGTAATATTCTGTGGGTAGAGGGTATAAGTCTTGGTCAGACGGTACAGTTTTCTCACCCTGTGATATTGACACTTGTGTAAAATGCATAAATATAATTCGATTTGCATAAATTTCTAGAAAAAGTTTTTCTATGTATATTATTCAGGAAAGGAGATATTGTCAATTTTGGCATGTATATCTAACCAGAAACTCTATAATTATAAATGTATATTCTGTTTTGTTTGTATTTGTGTTTTGATATTTTTGGGATTATTTGGTTTTATTTGTAACTAAAACGTTTGAAGTGTACCAAAATTATTCTGATAATTATTCTGTTACTAATTTGTCAATCCAATATTGTGGAAACAGTCCAATATTGTTATATCAAGCTAATTTTATGATAGCAATCCAATATTGTGATACAAATCCAACATTGTTATATCAAGCTATTTTTATGGTAGCAATCCAATATTGTGATAAAATCCAATCTGATTTTATGGTAGCAATCCAATATTGTGATACAATCCAACGTTGTTATATCAAGATAATTTTATGTTAGCAATCCAATATTGTGATACTAATCCAACATTCTTATATCAAGCTACTATACTGGTAGTAATCCAATATTGTGATAAAAATTTGACATTTTGATAACAGTTCAACATTAAAATAACTGTCAGATATTATGATAAGAATTATAATAAGAGTCCAATATTGTGATATAGTAGCATTCCATGATATATTACACACTGACATTATTAGCTTTGAAACAAAAAGAGATATTTACTGAATAAAATGATAATGATATATTTTATTTGTTGGTATCCATGTCATTTCAGTTTCATAATTTTGATATTTTTTCTTATATATCAATTTTATAGCTAATTCCTTACATTTTGTGATATTTATTGAAAATATTCTTTAACTTGATAGTAAGTGTGTATACAAACATGTTTAATATATAGAGTTAAATATATGGTTTATGCATGCCATTGTGCGATAAAAGGATATCCACCATTGATTAAACGCTTCACACCCAAAGGTTATTATAGAATAGATACATGTAGCTGTGCAGTCTGGCCTGGGTCTATACTGTTGGCTGTTGTTTTCAAATTTTAAGCTTTGTGTATTTTGCTCATCATCTCAAACTCAAATTTGGTTAAGAAGTGACTAAAGAATGAGCTGGATTTGACTCGAGAGCTTGCTCACCAGACACCATCTGTCTATGTCAGTTTGCATGTGCGCTCATTCATGCCGGCCATTATGCAAAAATAAAATGCCCAGTGTCAGATGCCCAAAATTGTATAATGACCAAGGTCTTGCTACACCCTGTAAATAGACGACCTTTCATTGATTAATAAAAAGAACAAAATAACCTCGAAAAAAAGTCCACTTGTCTATAAAGGACATGTTTGGTCTCTGACCTTTATTCACAGGTTTAACTGTATGCATATTTTGTTGGCAGTTCAATTGTAAAAACTTACTATTGAAATTTCTAAAACGAAACTACTTAATAGCTATTTTTAGGACAAGTCAAGTGCACAAATTTTAGCCCTTTCTAAATTTCTTATACAGACTTGTCCATCTTTCATCTACAAAACTGTTGTTGATCAATTTTGGGGTATCAAAATGAAAATTTAAAAAATCTCAGCTAACTGTATGGGATGTGGTCAAACTGCACCAGTGTGCAAGCTGGTATTTCTCTATACTGGTGGCAAAGGTAATCACCTTGGCTTCCATTTCAGCAGGGTAAAAAGAGTTAAATCATAATACGCCACAAAAATGTTATTTCTTATCCCTTTACACATGCATTGTGCTTGTTGCTTTTAGGTTATTTTTTTGTTTTAACAAATACTATTTAAAAAGTTTGTTACAGTTTGATAATAAATATATCCAACATATAACAGATGTTTTTGTGCCTGTATAAATCCATTAGTTTTACAATTTATAAATGTAACCAATGAACTTGCAGTATTTGCACCATGTGATGATCTCTAAATATAGATCATTATTGGATTCGGACTTGGTCAATTTCCTCTCCTTCCCCGCTGTGGTGAGGCACGGGGCATCGGCAGATTTGAAGAATCTACAGAGAATAAGGAAAACTGAAATTTGTACTTCTGGACCAGCTGCTTTGTCCTAAATAAGGCCAAGATGAGTGGGCCTACAAAGAAGGAATGGTACTAGGGTGCAAAGTTTCAGATGCAGGTTTGAATGGTCATCAGTTGAATTACTTTTTTACCCAGCGACATAATTTTTAGCTCACCTGAGCATTATTTGTCTTATACAGACAATGTTTCCATGGTGAGCAATATAGAGCCTTTAGGTCCTCTTTTTTTGGGAGAATGGTGGGGCTCTGTAAATTTTGCTATGAAGTATATATACTTATACTAGCTATGCTGCCTACATCAAAAATTTAACACACGAGCAGTCAGTTTGAAGGAGAAACATAAATTAAATGAAACATTTTTTTTCTGTGTTTTTATTCAACTTCAACTATTATATATAGCTGTACATACCTGTTGTCAATGTATTTATAACAATGGTTATTATCTAACAATGAAAATCAACAATCCTAATAAATAATTATATAATGTAAATAATAAACATTAACATGTACAAATTTGTTATAGGAAATTTCTTGTGAGGAACAGGGTCTTTTAAAAAATCTGAAAGACCCCAATGAGGAATGAGCAATAACTATGCTGTACATGTTAATTGTCAGGTAAAATTTGTGTTTTGTACTAAGAAATAAACAAATCTACTTATTACAAATGTAAATTTAATATTGAGTATGCCTTTACATCATATACAAAATGTATGAAAATCTATAGATTACTCAGTGTTTCAAAACTGTACTGAAAAGCTATGACAATAGGATGGCATTCTTTGCGTGTGCTGGGCGGGTCGGGAATGGCATGGTGTCCACCTTAATAAAAAAAATTGGACCTAAATTCCATTCCCAAACTCTTACAAACAGATTTCAAGTTGATTTTTTTTTATCTAACCTTTGTTCACTTATTGTGGAGATTTCAAGTTATAGGAAATAACCCCCCACCCCCCTGACAAAATCAAAGATTTAACTTGAAATTCATTTATTCTATAAGAACATTCCAAAAAACTGAACCATAACATTATATGTAATAAAAATATTAAAAAAATCAAAAAAATTTCTTTGAAAAAAAAAAAACCCAACAAAGTTTGATATTCATATCCATAAAAATGTAAGCCATAAGTTAATCTACATTCAAAACCGTACTTATAGTTTATTTATACATGTAGCTATATATAAAACTTTTGTCATGATTTGTTCATACATAAAGAATATTACAATAAATTGAAAGCACCAATTCAAGATTGCTAATTATAACAAATTACAGACACATACAACATGAATACATACCGGGTATAAACAAGCAATTATCATAGTATTGCAAGCAATCGATAAGTCCCCTACCGGTTAGAACCCCATCAACATTCTGAAGGGCCATTGGCCATTCACTAATGTTTCAATTTTTCTATATTTTAAGTAAATTTGTTGGAAAAGTTCTTTAAAAGTGATAACAGGAAACAGTTTTTATGAACAGACAGACAGACTGACTGAAGGACACTCTAAAGTTAATATTTGAAACATCCCTGTTACCAAAATATAACAATTTTAAAAGTAAAATTCTTAAAAAGGAGACAACTTTTGAATTAAAGATGCAATTTCATAAAAGAATTTCAGCTCTTTTTAACTAATCACAAATAATGTTATATTTGCCATGTTTTTGGCCTATTTGTTGCCAAGGCAACCAATATTTTTTCAAAATAGGGAGAACAGATAAGACATGCATAATCTCAAGACTGCCATCTACCCATATGTCAAGTTTCATAAAAATATTTCCAGTACTTTTTGAGTTATCACTGGATTCAGTTTATGTGTAAAATTTGCCATATTTTCAGTCTATTTGTTGCCATAGCAACCAGAATTTTCAACATAGGAAGAAAAGAAAAAGACGTGCATAATCTCCAGACTGCCATCTACCCATATTTCAAGTTTCATAAAAATATTTCCAGTACTTTTTGCGTTATCACTGGATCCAGTTTATGTGTAAAATTTGCCATATTTTAAGCCTATTTGTTGCCATAGCAACCAGAATTTTCAACATAGGAAGAAAAGAAAAAGACGTGCATAATCTCCATACTGCCATCTATCCATATATCAAGTTTCATAAAAATATTTTCAGTACTTTTCAAGTTATCGCGGGATCCAGTTTTGTGGACGGACGGACTGACAGACAGACAGACGGACGGAGGGTAAACCTAAAGTCCCCTCCGGTAAACCGGTAGGGGACTAAAAAAAATCTTTAAAGCTCTTTGGTAAAAATTGAAAATGATATGTAACATACATATGCAAAATTGAAATAAATATAGAGTATAAATAATTAAATATACAAAACAAGAATTGTCATTGTACATACTGGCTAGTCCCACAAAAAAAAACGAAAATTGCAAGGGCTGTAACTCTTCAGTATAATAACACTTAAACATTTCATTTAAAACTCATTATTCTTTAAGGTTTTAATATGTAAATTAAGTTACAATGATGAAAAAAATAAAATAATTGAGGCACCCCAAAACATTTTTTACACTGTTGGGAACACTGCAAAAATGTGAGGGAAATTTAGCTTAAGTAACCTGAACCACAGCAGCTACTTCCAACCCAACAAAAAGGAAGGGTAGGTAGCTATCCATAGTTATTATGGACCAAACATCCAAGATAATTGTCAATATAATGATGACTATATCAGTGCAGTAAACAAGGGCAATAACTCTGGTCAAAATCATCTGAATGTTGTAGGTTGTTTTGTTTTGTTTTAAGTCATATTAGCACTGTAAAGGTCATACACCAGCTTAACTGGTGAAGGAAGACAGAAGTGGCCCTCCTAGAATCATTATTTTAGGATTGAGTGGGCATCAGAGTAGGATCAATGACCCTCTGAAAGATGGCTGGAAAACTTCCGCAGATGAGAGAATATGAAGTTTGTTAAGGTATGCAAGATTCTAACAGTATATGACTCCACAGTGGTGAGGGACAAGTGATTTAATATTGGCAATCGTTGCTTACTTTAAACAAGAGGGCCATGATGGCCCTGAAGTCGCTCACCTATACATAGGCCCCCGGAGCAGGGCCAGTTTAAAGCCCGGGGCTTTTATTTGAACAAATTTTGTAGACAACCATTAGAAGATGTTTCATGCTAAACATCTAAGGTCTAGCTCGTTGGGATTTTTAAAAGAAGATTTTTTAAAGTTTTTTCTTTACACATATAGTTAAAAACAATGACACACCTGGGGCAGGGCCAGTTTTGACCCCAGGGCTTTTATTTGAACAATCTTTGTAGACACTTACTAGAAAATGTTTCATGCTTAATATCTAAACTCTACCTATTCGGGTTTTTTCAAAGAAGATTTGTAAGTTTTTGCTATACTCGTATAAGGAAAATCAATGTCCCCCGGGGCGGGGCCAATTTTGACTCCAGGGCTTTTATTTGAACAAACTTTGAAGACACTCACTAGTAGATGCTTCGTGCTTAATATCTAAACTCTAGCTATTTGAGTTTTTTCAAAGAAGATTTTTCAATTTTTGCTATAGTTTTACACATATAGGGAAAATGAACGACCTCCGGGGTGGGGCCAATTTTGACCCCAGGGCTTTTATTTGAACAAACTTTGTAGACAATCACTAGAAGATGTTTCATGCTTAATATCTAAACTCTAGCTATTTGGTTTTTTCCAAAGAAGATTTTTTAAGTTTTTCCTATACACATATAAGGAAATTTGGAAAATCAATGACCCCCAGGGCCGTGCAAATTTTGACCCCAGGGCTTTTATTTGAACAAACTTGGTAGACACCCATTAGAAGATGTTTCATGCTAAATATCTTAGCTCTAGCTCTTTGGGTTCTTTAAAAGAAGAGTTTTAAGATTTTACTATATGTATATATGGACAATCAATGACCCCCTGGGGTTGGGCCAACTTTGACCCCAGGGCTTTTATTTGAACAAACATGGTAGACATCCATTAGAAGATGTTCATGCTAAATATCTTAGCCATAGCTCTTTTGGTTCTTTAAAGAAGATTTTTTAAAGTTTTTACTATATGTATATAGGGAAAATCAATGACCCCCTTGGGCGGGGCCAATCTTGACCCCAGGGCTTTTATTTGAACAAACTTGGTAGACATCCATTAGAAGATGTTTCATGCTAAATATCTTAGCTCTAGCTCTTTTGGTTCTTTAAAAGAAGATTTTTTAAGTTTTTACTATATACATATAGGGAAAATCAATGACCCCCTGGGGCGGGGCCAATTTTGACCCCAGGGCTTTTATTTGAACAAACTTGGTAGACACCCATTAGAAGATGTTTCATGCTAAATATCTTAGTTCTAGCTCTTTGGGTTCTTTAAAAGAAGATTTTTTAAAGTTTTTACTATATGCATATAGGGAAAATCAATGACCCCCTGGGGCGGGGCCAATTTTGACCCAAGGGCTTTTATTTGAACAAACTTGGTAGACACTCACCAGAAGATGTTACATGCCAAAAATCTAAGCTCTAGCTCTTTGGGTTTTTTAGAAGAAGATATTTTAAGTTTTTTCTTTTGGTTGCCATGGCAACCAGAGTTCTGCATGGAATTAAATTCTTTGAACAATTTTCAAAGGTGACCACCAAAGGAACATTCCTGTGAAGTTTGGATGAAATTGGCTTAGTTGTTTATGAGGAGATGTCATTTAAAGTAAAAGTTTACTGACGACGGACGCTGGACGCCGGACGGACGAAAAGTGATCACAAAAGCTCACCCTGTCACTTTGTGACAGGTGAGCTAAAAAAAAAAAGATTTAAACACAAGTGATAACTAAGTGACTGTAAGAAGTAGAAATATCTCTATTCTACTTTCACCAGCGGTAGTAACTCATGCTGGAATGAATATGACTGGCTAAGTGGTAACAGACAATTTCCTTTAACACTAGCTGACAAACATACATACATTCAAGAAGGAACTGTACGTCATTGCTCAAAAATTAAGATTATTGTATACATGTACTTATCTAAGAGCGAATAAAATTTCGCCGAGTATTTTTTTTATATGTTATCAGAATGAAGAAAAGAAATTTATATAAATAAACATAGAACTTAGTTTAACAAAAACAAATTACTCCAACTTAACACAGTCTATTCTATTGGCACATTGTAACATTAACATTTGTTCAATAGTGAACAAAGTTGACACAAACATATATAACATATTACAAATATTTTTATTTCTGGTAAATTATTTTTTTTTAAAAAGTACTATAAACACTTGTTCACTAAACGAGTACATTTGAGCCGTGTCACGACAAAACCAACATAGTGGGTTTGCGACCAGCATGGATCCAGATCTGCACAGTCTGATCAGGATCCATGCTGTTTGCTATCAGTTTCTCTACTTGTTATAGGGTCTGTAAGCGAACAGCATGGATCCTGATCAGACTGCGCGGATGAGCAGGCTGGTCTGGATCCATGCTGGTCGCAAACCCATTATGTTGGTTTTGTCATGACGTGGCTCATTTATTGAGAATGCAATTTTGAGTATTGATGATGTGGTTACAAGTAAATCAACATAAAAAAAATCAGAGTTTCAAATTACATTTTAGTAACTTGCCGAATTAAAGCAGCACACTTCCAAATTCCTGCTAATTCTCATGAAAATTTTAAAATGTATTAAAAAGTATAATATTGTGAAATGAACAAAGAAAATAATTTACACATTGCCACTGACACTTACAACCAATGTAAGTTAGCAAAAAAGATGTCAAATAGACAAAAATAGCCTTCACTGCCTTATTAACACAGTAAAAGTGTGGTGAAAAACATTGCAAAATTGGTCATTAACCGCTCATAATATAGAACATATTACTTTTATCTTGAATATTTTTACTTTTCATAAAAGCTTGGTACATTTTTCTCAAGTTTGATTATCTCCAAATATTTTGGCTCATCTGGAGGCATGCAGCTTTAACACTAGTAATCACATAATTCAAAGCACATTGAAACAAATCTGTTCCACTTGCTCCTTTTATAATTTCTAAAATAAACTAATCATCTATTTTAACAAATTTAATGTTATTTGCTTGTATTTTCCTCTTGGGTGAGGGATGATTAAAATTACACCTTTTACTTTGACCAAGCATCAAAAACTGCCTGAGCTTTGCTCTTAAATACATGTAGTTGTTGATTGTGAAATCTTACTTTGGGAAAAATTAAAACTGCTGTTATAAAGAGGTAGTTGCTTTACAAAAGTCCTTTTTATAGAGGTTGCACTATACAATTACTTTTCATTCTTGAGGTACTCTTCAATTTGGAGAGATTTGTCTACATTTCAGTTCTTCAAAATAAGTTTACTTTTTGATGTATTTACTCAAAGGTTGCTAAAGATACACTGTCTTATAATTTAAAGACATTTTACTCTTCATTTTTGAAGGAGAAGAAATATTTCTTAAATCTTTAAACTGAAAATATAAATACTCTTCAGTATGGAGGTTATTCTCTTTTTTCCCTCATATCACTCATAAATTTGGAGGTATTTTAGTTAATACTCTTCAGTCTGGAGGTTTTTCAATTATTCAAAGTAATACTCTTCAATCTGGAGATATTTTCACATTTCTTTCTCATCAATAAATAATCTTTAATATGTTTTTACAATACATTATTTTTTGTTCTTTATTTTGGATTAAACTATAAACTGTCCTTAAAATCACCCTGTAGTATCTATGTCTGCATGTATAACTTTAGTTTCAGTCAATATTGCCACAATAAGAAACACAACATACAAAACAACGAGGTATATACCCCAGCCTCGTGACATCCGGAATCGAGACAGGGGTACGATAATTATACTTGAGATCAAACTGAGTGCCAGAAAACCTGCCAACACTACTTCTTCCAGAGTTATCTGAATCTGAAAAGGAAAAAAAATAAATAAGTAAATTCAATCAAGTTGTTTTCTCGACTGTTAATTCTAAAATGAAACTGTAAAGATTGTTAGTTCCCGAATTTTTGTCTTAGTAGATGCAGTGACCTTGTATATAAATTGACTGAATAGTGTTTTCACGTGTAAGAACTGGGAATAATACCTGTTGTTGAGAAGCTAGATATTTCATGAAGGCTTGCTACAAATATTTCTTAGATAAGTAAATGGCCAGACTGACAAAGCTAAGCTTTCCTTCCATGCAAGAAAGGCACAGGAGTGCCACCGATGTTCAGTAAGCTAGCTGGAAGGTGTCCTAACATCAAAAAATTCCAAAGTCCCTGTTGGGATTTGAACCCACAGCTGTGAGGGGCTAGTGGTTTAATTTATATATGGTATGGCAAAAATCTACAAAAAATGTTGTACATGAAATAAATATGAGGAGTATTCTTACTTTATAATCTCCTTGTTTTATAGTTGCTATGGTGAATGGAATACCTATACCCAACAATAAATCTAAAAACAAGATAAGGAAAACATATTTCATAAAATTCTATTTTCAGATAATGTAAACACATTTAGTTCTCTTACTATAATTAACAATAGTTTTCTGCATGTTTTAATATAGATATCCTTGGTTTATACAGAATTTGTTTAAGTTTGATCATGTTGGAAGCTTAAAGTTTATAGACACACTCTTGAATCTGATCCTGGAACTTATACTAAGCAATAAGTGTAAAGTTGCTAACTCAAGGAAATAACGGCTTGCCCCTGATTAGGCTTGAACATATGCAAACAGCATTCCTCAGATTTCTAGTCCAACGTGTTAACCACTCAGCGATCCATTGTGCTTCTCTTAAAGAACAAGTTACTCCTGGAATTTGGAATTAAGATTATCTGCAACTTTCACTATTTTCCAAGAATAAAAATATTATTCACATATTCTTTTTCTTATGAAAATGTGTGGTGATTATGGATAATTTACAAGTCAAATGTACCCCCACTCTTCCTGACCAGACGTGAGGAATAGCTGGGGACAAGAGGGTGGTAAAATTCAAGCTAAATCCCCCCTCACAACAAGTTAATGGTAAATACATGTATATCTTCAGCTTTATGAATGCCAAAACAAAATCACTGCATTGGCCAGTCAGTACATAGAATTCACATGTAAGAAAATTATGTATAATTATGTATGAATATGTGACAACAAACAAATGTTTGAATACTCATAATAAAACTTTGACCAACAACAGAGCATAGTATAACCTTAAAATAATGTTTTCTATGAAAGAACACATAAAGTGCATGTAACTAGATAAAGGATACTAAATAAAGGTCCACCAAAACATGCTGATATACCCATCCTCGGAAAACCCTGTTTCGCCATTACTGTATCAGCTATAAAATCTGTAAACAAAAATATTTGTATAACAACAGCAAATAAGATAAGATATTTTTTATTGTCAGAGCCTTTGAAACAAATGACATTATCTAAGATGAGATTTTATTGAAAGATCAATTGCTACAATTTACAACTTTCTGGATTCATACTACATCCAAGCAAATAAGCACTTTGCTATACTATTTTGTCAAAACATCATTTTTCATATCTCAATAACTTTCTGTTAAATTTATGTCATTTTTGAACTTGTGCATTTCAAATAAATGAACAAACACGAACAGTATTAAGAAGAAAATCATTTAAAATCAACAACTGTAGTAGGTTAGATGTTTCTATATTTATACATGTATTTCAAAGCTAAGATAAATAAAATTTCTAAAAATGTCAAGAGAAGGTTTAGCAGTACTAAATTTTCTTTACCTCCTATACTATTTCCCCAGGCTAGAAGTGTAAGACCAAGAATTGCATTGCTTATGTTGAACACTACACCAAATGTCTGCAAAAATAAATAATCATAACATTTTATTTTAATAAACGTCTATGCAACAAAGACTAGTAATTTTCCAAAAACCTATTTCTAAACGCAAATAATGTCATTTTGTTAGGTCAGTCTACTTTTAGATTTTTAGATGCACACAGAGTAATTTTGTTATGTTACTCAACCTTCAGATTTTACACATAGCGTAAATCTGTTATTTCAATAAACCTTTAGACCTCATTGTAAAAGTGAAATTTCAAAGGGTGACATGATGGATTTGAAATCAGCAATTGTATATATATTCTTATTAGCCAACTAGATACTGCAACCGAAGGACACCAGCACCAGGGTAGAAGCTATGACCTTCCCTTTACTAGTATGATTCTTTTGGATTTTTCACCAATTTCAGCACATTTTTGGTCATAACTTGGCAGTCAGTCAACCTAACCGACTTTCCTGGATAACCAACAAGTATTTACCAATTTCTCCGCAACTGACTTACTACTATCGTTAATACAACATGATTTCTGAGTTACCAGTGAGAGACAATTTATCATTAGTCTCAATATTTGAGATCATTTGTCTCTGAGAAATTTTCCACCTCACCTCTAGGTCAAACCAGCGACTCCTTGATTACATGTCTAATATTCTCCGTATTGTGCTTAGTTGGCAAAGGTGCAGATGGAATCATGAAACATATATATTACAATTTGTATTTACCTGTAGTATATTGACTATCTCATTGGCTATAGAGTAAATCCATACCACAGCTACTACAAACCCTAGATAGGCAAACGCCTGAAATATCAAAATAAATATAATAATACAATATAATAAAAGTTTATAAGGTTTTTTGGCTGAAATGCCTCCATCCAGATCATTTTTTTGTATCTCACACTACGTATGTATTGCTCCAGTTATTATATCATGTGCACTGACTTTTGTCGGCCATAAGAACATATATTAATAATCAGGTGCAAAGCATTTTGACTTTTCTTAAAGAAACATAACTGCTCAGTTTTGTTTTAGGTCTTGTTGAAATAAGATATAAAAATATTCAAAACAAGAGGGCAATGATGGCCCTGAGTTGCTCACCAGTACAACTGCTTTTCAGTGTTGGAATGTCAATATATTCTAATATTAAATTTCAGCATAGAATATGTTAAACAATAATTTGAAGAAATGCCATGACCTGGGGCATTTAAGCTTTAGCTAAAATGGGCTAATCAAATTAATATGAGCAAACTTGATAAAAGACTACCTAAGAATGATACAAAGTTTGGTGATCATCTATCAATTATTTCAGTAGGAAATGATGTTCGAAGGTTTTTTCTATTTTTTAGCTTTAGTGGCCCCTCAAAGGGGCTAATCAAAATAATATAAGCAAACTTGATTAAAGATTACCCAAGAATGATACAGACAAAGTTTGGTGATCATCCATCAATTAGTTCTGTAGAAGAGGATATCTAAAGGCTTTTCTATCTTTAGCTATAGAGACCCCTAAAAGGGGCCAATCAAATTAATATGAGCAAACTTGATAAAAGACTACCCAAGAATGCTACAGACAAAGTTTGGTGATCATCCATCAATTGGTTCTTAAGTAGAAGATATTTAAAGGTTTTTCTATTTTTAGCTTTAGCGGCCCCTAAAAGGGGCCAATCAAATTAATGTGAGCAAACTTGATAAAAGATTACCCAAAAATGCTACAGACAAAGTTTGGTGATCACCCATTAATTAGTTCTGTAGGAGAAGATGTTTAAACGAATTTCTATTTTTAATTTTAGCGGCCCCTAAAAGGGGCTAATCAAATTAATATGAGCAAACTTGATAAAAGCCTACCCAATAATGCTACAGACAAAGTTTGGTGATCATCCATCAATTGTTCTGTAGTAGATGTTTAAAGGTTTTTCTATTTTTAGATTAAGCGGCCCTCTTTTCTAATCAAATTAATATGAGCAAACTTGATAAAAGACTCTCCAAGAATGCTACAGACAAAGTTTGGTGATCATCCATCCATTAGTTCAGTAGAAATAGACATTTAAAGGTATTTCTATTTTAGCTTTAGATGTTTAAAGGTTTTTCTATTTTAAGCCCTAGAGACCCCTAAAAGGGGCCAATCAAAATAATATTAGCAAACTTGATACAAGACTACCCAAGAATGCTACAGACAAAGTTTGGTGATCATCCATCAATTAGTTCTCTAGAAATAGACATTTAACGGTATTTCTAGTTTTAGCTTTAGCAGCCCCTAAAAGGGGCCAATCAAATTAATATGAGCAAACTTGATAAAAGACTCTCCAAGAATGCTACAGACAAAGTTTGGTGATCATCCATCAATTAATTCTGTAGAAGAAGATGTTTAAAGGTTTTTCTATTTTTAGCTCTGCTGACCCCTTAAAGGGGCCAATTGGAATGACATGAGCAAATTCAAGTGTGACTGTCACAAGGATGCTACAGACCAAATTTGAAGTAAATCTGCTTAGTAGTTTCAGAGAAGAAGAAGATTGTTGATGCATGACGATGGACGCCGGAGCATCCCCCTTTGATACTAATAGCTCACCCTGAGCCTTCGGCTCTGGTGAGCTAATTATAAAAACAGTACATGTGGCAAGTATTATAGGTATATACAGCTATCATTTAATAAGAAGTTTGACCAGGTTGGCAATGCATGTGTTCATAACAATCATACAACCAATGTGTATACATTAAACACAAAGTATCCTTATCTGAAATTTAGCTACAGATACTTGACCTTAAATTATCAAATTATTATTCTTTACATTGAATTATCGAAATATCATTATGAAAAATGAAGTTCACTTACTGCATGGTATTTTGGCTGAACTTCATTTTTGGATGTAAAAAACACAAGAGCTGCAAGCAGTACAGCTAGTATCAGTGTAAGACCCCATACAGGAAAACTACCTCCAATTGTTGAAAATCCAACTGTAAATTATATATAATACACCTACATGTATGCATAAAATGTATATCAATAAATAATAAATAACCATATAAAAGTTGAATAAATCTTCAATCAAAATAGAAAAGGAGGTTGCTGAACTAGTCTCTGGTAAATTCAATGTGGGTTACTGCTGTGATCTGGAGTGAAAACTACCAACACCAAAGGAGGTGACTTTTTACTGATAAACTTATTTGCCGGTCAACCCATATGCTGACAGTCCAAGAGCAAGACTATTTGAGCCGTGTCACGACAAAACCAACATAGTGCGTTTGCGACCAGCATGGATCCAGACCAGCCTGCACATTCGTGCAGTCTGATCAGGATCCATGCTGTTCGCTATCAGTTTCTCTACTTGTAATAGGGTTGGTAAGCGAACAGCATGGATCCTGAACAGACTGCGCGGATGCGCAGGCTGGTCTGGATCCATGCTGGTCGCAAACGCACTATGCTGGTTTTGTCGTGACACATCTCATTTTGGTAACAACCCCTGAGCTTGTCAAGGAAATGATTTACATTCAATTAAAAAGGAAGAAAAATGATGTCTTTACACTTTCAAAAAGGCCACAAAAAATGGTTACATCATATCAGCCAACTAAAAACAAAACAGAAAACAAGAAGTGTCTTTCAGGATATCAGTTTCTACTTACCTTTTGTGGCAGCCACTCCAAACAGGGGACCAAGAACACATTGTAAAGTATAAAGATGTCTGTTCCAATGGTTTTTGTCAAGATCACAATTCACAACCGGCACGGTGATTAGCAAACAAAACATAATTGGTGCCTAAAATAGACATACCTGTTACCGTAATCAAAACTTTTCAGAACCAAAATTCAACACAACTCCTAATCTCTTAGCCTAAAATGAACATTTGACATAATCTAAACTTTTATTAGCCTTAATTAGACATAACTCTGAATCATTTTGCCAAAAAACAAACATTTGACATAACACATGTATATATTATTTGGATATAACTTCTATTCTTCAAGCTTATAAACTAAAATGAATATTTAAGATAATCTATACTTTTAGGAACTGTACTTTTAATAGACATAATGCCTATTCTCAATGCCTAAAATGAACATTTTGACATAAAAATATTCTAGGAGCCTGGATTATGGCATACTGCTATCCTTTGTGCCTAAAACGAACATTTGAAGTACACTCATCTTTCAGGTGCCTTAATTAGACATAACATTTCTGTGCCTAAAATGAACATTTGACATAATGCGTATATTAATATCAGTTTATAAACAGACCTTGAACACTTCATAAATTTTCTTGAATAATGAAAAGCCCGACCATTCATCTGTGTCTATTGGGTTTATGTGATGTAAAAATTCCTGTAGCGGCGTCTGATCCCGTACTGCCGTCAGACTAATGACGTCCGGGTTCGACAACAATGGCTGACTCTCTCCATCGCGCACTGGAATTTTACAAATATTAAAAAATATAGAGATATAGAAAACTAGTTTGTCTTCTTATTATCGTCACTGACTTATCATCATTAAAAATTTTCAATTGCATTTAAAGTCAATAACTTTTTCAAACTAGAAAAGCATTTCATATATCTGAATACATAAATAAGAATAGAATAGTATTACATTCATAATAAACACAGTGCATGGAACAGAAATCAATAATTACAGTTGCTTATAACTAAACCTTTTCCCTAGGTGCATAATAATTCATTTATCCATAGGTGGACTTCCATACAAATAAGAGGGTCTATATTTTATAAAACAGACCTACATAGTAAAGTTTACCTGTATCTAAGGGATTGATAATCCTTATCCCTGACCCATCTTGTATATCTGTAACCATAGCAACAAAACATGCAACATAGCAACCAGCATTCCTTGTACATACAAAGCAAACAAAATTAATAAAACAACAGTAAATAAGTATTTTGCATGCTTCTCCTGTCATAAACAGAATTAAATGTTTTAAGTCACATCAACACTGTTAAGGTCATTAAGGTCATAGAGGGACATTATGGTAGGGGAAGTAAGTAAGTTTCAAACCAACACAGGTAAAGATCTATAGTTATCTAGTGATTGGCAGTCAGCAAAACTTTTGGCCACAGGGCTTACATAATATTTGAGTAATTATAAATTCAGGACTAGACTAAAGTACATTTTTAACTCTCACTAAATATTGACATTAATTTATGTTAAATATAATAATACCTGTAAGGTATATTTAAGTCCAATTATTTATTTTTTTGACATTTTAGCTTTTCACATAACATAGGGCCGTCACAGAAAGCAGAATTTCCAGAAATTACTAACAAAAACAAGAATATTTTTTGTAATGAATAAATATGGGGCAGTAAATTTTTGGGATTTGAACTTAAAATTTATTTGACAAATGTAGCATGTCTAATTAAATGTTTAGAATCACTACAGTACCCAAGAATTTCTATGATCTGAAGTTTTCAAACGAAAATAATTTATATCACAACAAGATATTGTTTTTAAACGAAAATTAAGAATTTACATGGCAACAATATAATGTTTTCAAACAAAAATGAAGAATTTACATAGCAACAATATAACATTTTCAAACAAAAATTAAGAATTTACATTGCAACAACTTTATGTTTTCAAACAAAAAAGAAGAATTTACATCACACTTCTAACTTGGTTATCTGGATGCTGAGCAATATACTTGACTTGATTTATCATACAATGTACAAGATACGGTTGTTAAATTTAATACAATACGATTTTAATTTATATATAAATATTTCCCTACACTGTTATCAATATTTTGTGTAAATGTTAATCTACATCGAATAATTACCCTACTATTATCATTTATCATTGATAATTTACGGGGCTATCAGATTTTGCTCTACTTAGACAATCAAATTAATCATAATAGAAATGAATTTTGGTTTTCTAGCTCAGTTAAAGTAATTGACCAATATAATTATATTATCATAATACTGTTTTCTTTTATACAATAGAATGCTGTATGTAAGTGACATACACCCTCCAAACTACATCCCACAACATCATGCATCCCCTTGTGAATTTTAGTTTTCTAGCTCAGTATTAATGAAGTTGACCAATATAATTATATTATCATTATATTGTTTTCTAAGTACAATAGCAAGCTGTATGTAAGTGACATTCTCCCCTCCCCCTAACTGCATCCCACATCCTCATGCATTCCCTTCCACAATTTGATGAAACGTTTTGATACAATCTCATCTATAACAGTGTAAGTTAAAGCATGAATTTCTTAATCTGTATCATACTTTACATAGTGATACTTTATTCAAATTACTAGTTAAAAAACATGATGACGACATCCAAATAAAACTTAAAATGACACATTGAGGGATATTTTGTCTAAGAATAAGATTTAGGCAGAAAAATAACCATTAAAGACAAGAGCATCACATGTGGTGTTAATGCTGGTCTGTTTAAAAAATAACCACTTTTGACATGTTTGACAAAATACTAAGTTAAAAGGCGGCATACCTCCAAATACAAAATGTAATAGCTTTTAGAATTATGCCCCTTGCCTTACAACTTTGCCTTGTATGATAAGCAAACATTCCAAGTTTCATATTGCAACCTTTAAAACTACTTCAACAGTTTGAAAAGTGGGCTACATTAAAGTTTTTGCACGACAATAACAACAACAACTCCAATAATGACACTGCCACAGAGATTATAACAGCTCCACTTTTGCTTCCAAACAGCCTTGGTAAAAATCATTGATATTTATTTCAGGTTTAATTTTCTTATTCAAGACTCTATATTAAAACATGCATGTTTCTTTAATGTAACAATGACTTTAATGGAATCAAGGGCCATAACTCTGATGCCTCTTTGTTTAATCACAAATAAAAAGTGACGTAACTTACTAAAATATATGGTTTCTATCAATGATGTTTAAACTAATAACAGAAATAAAATGAAACTGACGGCCAGGTAGACCTTAGAAACATAATCAGCATGCATCCTGTGCCAGTGATATACTACTGTAAGTAAAAATATATGGTGTTAGCGGTAAAACGTGTTATATTCAAACAATACATGTACTTATACTGGCTAACAAAAAAGCATCTAAACAAAGATGCTGTTGCTAGGTAACAACCATTTTATTTCTCACCAGATTGCTCTGTGTTTTCTACTGTGCTTTCAGGCACTATGGGCTCTTGTATAACTAACAAATAGAATAAATACAACATTTTACATTTTTTTTTCATTTTTCTGCCAAACCAAAAATAACCCCTTTAGTAAGACTAAATTTTTTTTTTGAGAATTTACAAAACAAAAAATGGCACAGTAGTAGGATTTTTATGGCGTTAAAACAATTATTTCTTTTTTTCCACAGTTTTTAACATTTTAAGGTAAACTGACAATTTATTAGGAAAAACCATTTTGCAGACAAAAAAAAACAAAAAAAACCAGGATTTTTTCAAGTTAGAAGAACTGTCAGTAGACCATATTGCAGAAGAAAAACCTTTATCTTTGATAAAAAAGAGACAATTTTATGAACCACTTCAGACAATTTTACAGTTGACAGACATTTTGCAGACTATAATCAAAGGGCTGCAGCTCTATGGTATTTTCTGATCTTTCTAAATCATACTGACTATCTGTATGTACTTTCCTGTATAAGTTTATTTTTATATACTATAATTCATCTTACGCAGCGACAGCGTTTTGATTTTCTTCTATAACAGTTTGAGATTGATACATAGAGAGAATTTGAGACAATTGAGAATTTCCATTTCGTGTTTGCAATCCTTATTAATTTCGAGGTATTTTGTTCACGATAAACCTGTTGTTTAACACTGATGAAAATAATTTAGCGAAAATCTTCTCGCCAAAACAGTCCGACATGTATATATTCCACTACTCGACAGTCAGATTTATTTGTGTACTACGCTCTGGGGTATTCATTAATCGACATAGCTAAAAATAGCATTTTCATTGATTAAAATGATATTCATGATAATCCGAAGCTTTACGGAAATAGCCGAACATTTTTCATTGGGTAAAAAAGATATTCAGCCGCGAAATTTGTGATTGTAACCTCATATTTCTATTGACTAATCTAAACTTTTAATGCAATGTAATTTGTTAAATGCCTACATTAAAAAGTATTATTTCTTTTAAATTGCTGGTTTTTAAGCAGTTTTGAGTGAGAACTACTTTGCGTTGTTAGGACTGTAAGGAAATTTTGTGTTAGACCGTGGATGTTAGCTATGTATTTACTGATCTTACGATCAGAAAATACAAAAACTTTTCAAATATAGAAATGAACAATTTTGGTGAACAACTTACAAATAAAAGGACAATCAACAAGCAAAATTAGGAACTTGGCCTAACCCTTAGTCATTACTCTGCTGGAACCAAAAGTGGTTAGTCTTTGTCACCAGTATAGAACCAGCCAGTTTGCACATTCATACAGTCTGCAGACCAGGCTCTATACTGCTGAGTGACTTTCTGTATATTTTTCATCTCGATTTCCCCAAAATTCATAATGGACAGTTCCAAAACTGTAAGCTGGATCAATCCATTTAAGAAATTCAGCAGATTAGGGGTTAAACATAACAATTCCCTCCCAGAAATCATTAACAATTTTATGCCTTAGGCAAGCTTGTACTTTAAACAATTTACTTTTAACAATTTTATGCCTAAAGCATGCTTGTACTTTAAACAATTTTACGCCTAAAGTGCTCATGTACATACATATTACGTACTTTCTGAAAAATGACATTATACAGGAAGGTAATTGTCATTGTGAATTAACCGAGATAAAAAAATTTCAATCTTATACAGACCACTTGAAAACTTTGTTTAAAGTTCATAGTCAATGTCAAGTGACTATCAAAAACTTATCTTATAAAGTATATGAAACAATTGCTTTCACAGCATACACATGGCTGTAAAACAATCCTATGATAATAACAATATTAACAATATCTCAAAACATGCACAGATTATCAACCCCTCTTATATATAATTACAATGGTTATACACAATTTAAAATACAGACACAATACAAAATCCGTATATTTTTGTTTCAATTCAGAGATTGTTCAAAATGAAATATTCAACTTTTACACAGCACTATTTATAAAATCGACTTGTCTTGCTTCAAATCTGGAATGTTGCATTCTATTTTATGGGTGTTTCAATACCAAAATATTAAAATTTTGCAGTTGACATTATAATTATAGTCAGGTTAAGCTGTACAGAAGAGGTGGCTAGCTTGTTTCACAAAGTAGGCACATTCCCGTAGTATCATTACTTGGCCAACATTTAAAAGGTGATCTATAACCATACTAGCGAACATGGTCAAAATCCTTCTGGTCAAATGTTTTTTCTTTGAAAGTGACCATGAATAGCTTAAGGTCTTTAACAAATCTTGTACAATTTCATCAACAGCAGCATAGAGTCAGGTCTTCATCTTTCACATGTGAATTAAATGTACCCATAAGGCATGTGAATTAAATAGCCCTCTCAAACAAGTTAATTAAATACCCCCACACAAATGAATTAAATGTCCCCTTCAGACAGACCCTTACACAAGTGAATAAAATGCCCATTCACACAAGTGAATAAACACCCCCCTAAAAAAATTGAATACATTCCCCCTTACACAAGTGAATTAAATTTCACTCTCATACAAGTGAATATAACATTCCTCACACAAGTGAATTAAATGCCTCTCACACAAGTGAATTAAATGCCCCACCCTCTCTCTCTCACAGGAGTGAATTTAATGTCCCTTCACACTAGTGAATTCAACACCCCCCTCACACAAGTGAACTAAATGTCCCACTCATATGACACATGACTCATATGAACTACCTAAATGTCCAAACTTGGATTCAAACCCTTAGCATAAGTGAAAGTCAGCTATTAAATTTCTATAAACTAGAACCTAGAACCTATGTTTGTAGTTGACAATTTATATACATTGTATAACAAAAACTCCCATTGCCATTGCTATATGTACATGTATTCCGGAAAAAAAGTTAAGATTTTTATCAGTTGAAGTTGTTGTTTTTTTATTTCCGTCAAAAAAATGAGAAAATCACTGGATTTACATTTAGAAACTTTTTGCATTGATGTCTCCTCTGAACTTTTTAAATTTACGATAAATTTTTTTTACATTGGAATATTTTTCAACATCATAAATTTTTGATGACTGAACTTTTTGCACTATATCACTGAATTAATCATTCACTTTCCCAATCAGATCATTGCTATATATGTAACCTCACCTCATACTGTCTCATACATTAAAGATAAGGTGTCAGTCCACGCAATGCTAAAGTTTTCCATCATTTCCATGGATTAGCTTTAGGTCAGAAACTTGCATTACCATGCATTTTCACAACCTTTACCCCTGTTATTGTTTTTTTTTTTTTTTTTTGAATTTTTTTTTAGAAGCCTTAAAAAAGTGAAATAATGTGTTCCTTTCATGGAATAGGAAGTGTTTAAAGGGACATTCCATTGTTTAAGGTAGGTTTAAACCATAAATTTTTAGATCTTATTTTTAATACTGACTTTGGAATTTGCTACTGTGAGATAAAGGGGTTTACAGTCTTGCCTAACTGGTAACCTTGCTATTAGACACCATAATCAATTATTTTCACATTCATATTCAATATACATGTACTGTGCAATCAAATAAATTTGTGAGGCAAACATTTTGCGAAATCATTTTTCCGGACTAATTGGTAAGGTAGAATATTTGCAAATTTATACTTTCAGTTCTGTTAAATATATATTATACGAACCCTAGATATTAAGTGAAAATTTATTTTCACAAAATCTTTTAATCCTGAAATTATCAAAATTTAATCCCTCTCAATGATTTCTGACTGGACAGTAACCTATTCTTGATGGGCATTTCTACTTATATTTTAGATTTCTTTACACTTTGTAGACTGGGGAAGGGGAAAAATTTTACTTTGTGTTATGGACTTTCCTTTAGTGTAGTTTTAATTTAAAACATTTTCTATTTTCAAGGATATTCAGTTCAAAATAAAAAGAATTCAGTTCTGGCTGGCCTCACTCTACTCATAGAAAAGCCAAATTATAGTTGCCCCTAGCTTAAAAAGGGAATTATATAATAATGCTGATAATGCAACCACAAACTACATAAATATGTTACTAAAAGCAGAAGTCTGTAAAAAAATGGGAGTGTCAAAGAACTAAGCGCACTTACTGCCTCCAGTTTGAGATGTGGAATTTGAGCGTTGACGTGTATAAATATAGCGACCAATCACAACCACAAGAACGTAAAATACGTACAGTAGTATAAAACCTGAAAATAAATATTCGAACACTAATTACAGCAAAGTTGTGACATGGACTTCGTAATTATACAATATCAAGGACAGACATTTCTAAAACTTTTACCGCCCCTTACTAGGGAGGCTAGGGAGCAAACAAATCAAAGATTGAACAGATAGTTAATTAGTAAATTAGGTGAATTTCATGCTTTTTTTATTTCCGTAAGCAAGAAAAATGTATAAACAAATAAGAGCATTTTATTGGCTGATTTTAGACTTAACATGCTAAATTTCTTAAATGGTTTTGTTGTGGACAAAACCATTCAATGATAATTTTTTTCTGAACTGACTAAATACCAAACAGTGCAGTCTTATCATGGACTGCACTAGTCATTATCATATTGGTAAAATTTGTTGCTGGTAAGGGACTTAGAGTTAAACTTTATGATAGCAAAAAGTCAAAAATAAAATCATAACAATATAATTATCCAAGTCAAAGTTTCATTTACAAACAAAGTGTTTAAATATTACTCTCAGAATAACGAGGCATTTAAATATGTCATAATATCTGACAAAATTATAATAAAATGAACCACATGAATACCTATAGCTTCAATTTTAGTTATTTTCTTGTCCCACAACACACAAAATGTCCAGAAAACTGCTGCAATGTAGAAAATCATGTCCCGGAGAAAAGGTCGCTGCATAGAATCAAATGGGCAGATAATGGCTATAAATCCAGCAACAACTGTTGTCACAAAAACGCCAGCACCTGAAAGATATTAACTAAATGCACCAAAAGCTTGAGTATGTTCAAAGAAGTGAGTCAGTTTCTTTTTATTTGTCAATTTCCTATTCCAATTTTGCCAACTTCATCATTTTACTATTCTAATTTAGCCAACCTTATCACTGTTTGTTTCTAATTAAGTTAAATTAATCAATTTCCTATTCTAATTCAGTCATCTTCATCACTTTCTATTCTAATTTAGCCAACTTCAACAACTCCATTCCAATTCAGCCAACTTCATTAATTTCTATTCTTATTTAGCCAAGTAAATAATTTTTTATTATAATTTCATCCGAATTAATCACTGTACTATTCAACCAACTTCATCATTTTTCTATATATATTCAGCTAATTTCACTATCTTCTATTATAATTCAGCCAATTTTATCATTTTTCTTCTAATTAGGCAAACTTCATCTCCTTCTAATTCCATCAACTTTCCAATACATAAACAGCAAAATTCATGACTTTCCTATTTCAATTCAGTCCAAAAAAATATCCAAATAGGAACTATGGCTTTTACCTTTAATGTATGTACATGTACCTAATTTTCCAGAATTTTTTATTTACAATTATATTTTAATGTCATTTTGGGATTATTTTTCTAAGACTTTGGAAATAACACCTTTTTAATTGGAAAAATGAGATAATATCAGCTATAAAATCATGCCCATCTCAGGCCCTTATATCCCTGAGAATATTCATCAGCAAGCTGTTATCTTCAGCATTACTTTCAAGTTTATAACAGATCTATTTGCAGCCAGGGATTAATCCTTTCTCTCAAGAATAGAGAGACCTGCATTTTTTACAGAAACTACAGTATCTTGAGCTTTGTAACCAATTAGCGTTCACACTTACCCAATAATGCCCCAAGCGCCAGACCAGCGTCTCCATCTTTAGCATTGCCAATAGCTGCTATAGCTGAGAAAATATCTGGTGCTCCATTCCCAAAAGCTAGAAATGTTACCCCGTAAAAAAAGTTAAGGTACACAGTATATAGATTTTTTTCTTAAAAAACAATAAAGGGGCTCCACTGAAGTCCATAATGTGAACTCTGAAAATCTAACATAGAACAACCATGGTACATAAAGCAGAAAAATATTAAAATGATTTTTAAAAAAAAATGTAATTAAACAAAGGTTTAAAGAAAAATATAATTAAAAAAGAGCTCAAAGATGATACAATAATTCAAAGGGTATAAGGAAAATGTAGCATAGTATAACAAGCTCTACTTTAAGTGTGACACTGGGTTAAGTGACAAACTTAAGATGTACACAAAATTAAAACCATGCTGTTACGCAGACACTGGCTGGATGAGCAGGATACCCTCCCTGTACTTCATATAGTCAAAATTAAAAGGTTTATATATTCATGTATAAGATAAATAAAGGATATAGCTACATTATGGCTCAGTTTTAATGTATCAGAGATAACAGCTAGTGCTGGACAGAAACTGAAATAAGAAAAGAAAGTACAAGGATAACATTACAATAACTCATCTTTCATTATTCATAAAAATTTTGAAAATAGAGATATATATATATACTAAAATAATCAAGTCCTTGGAGGTATTCAAATACATTCTATGAAATGATATTTTACAATTTCTCATGGAGCATATAGATGTTTTATATTGATCAATGTTACTTGAGAAATAGATGTGGGAAGTGGGACTTATGTTACACTGAAATCACATAGCAGCTTTGAAGCTTCATTAGTGGAGGAAAAGACTAGGTGCTGCTTAAACAGCATGAAGGTAACAGCATCCACCTCCCTTAATATGTAAAGTATGCTGGATAGCTTAATCACATGAAAGAATTTTAAGTCAGTGGAAATATTTGAACCCACAACAGTGACGGAAAGGTAATTCAAAGTCAGTAAACTTTATTACTTACCTATTGGGGCCTGTGACTAAAACACTTACAACAAAATATTATCTTTGAAGAACATAGGATTAACACCTATAGATAAACTTACAAGTCATCTGCTGTCACTGCCAGTCCAACAAAGAGAAACAACCACCATATTATCTGAAAAATAATGAAAATATTATTTATGAAATAAAGATATAACATATACACAAAATTAAGTTATTATCATATACAAATCAGATTCACAAGATTTTGTCAAATAGATTTATATGTTGAGAAAAATTGTTCAAAATTAGATTATTTATTTTTCAGGATAATTACTCAATTAAAAGACTGGGTTATTTCTCATAAGTTAAAACAGTCATACATGTAGCTTATTATACAGGCCCTCTAATAAACTTGGATGATAAATAACCTTTTCTTTGCTTTACTTTAAGCAAGAGTATTTCAACTTGTCAATAAAGTCTGCAATGATGATAACCAGGTTAAAACTGATGAACAACAAAAATTTTTTTTAATGTTAAAGCTTTTCTAGTGAATTTGTTTGAAAGGAAATAAAACCAACAAAATAAAAACAAAAGTTCAAATATCAACTTACCAATATGACAATTCCGAGTGGCAACAGATTTGAACTAAAGTCACAGTACACAAAGTATGTGTAGTCGAGGAAACCCTCGTCTATCTGACAATCATCAGTAACGTTCACAAATGTACACCGGTATGTCATGTTTTGTTTATGTACATCACTACACTGTAAAGATACAGATTATTGAAGCTTTAATTAAAGCTGTTAGATGATACACCAGTAAAATTTTGAGCCGCGTCACGACAAAACCAACATAATGGGTTTGCGACCAGCATGGATCCAGACCAGCCTGCGCATCCGCGCAGTCTGATCAGGATCCATGCTGTTCGCTATCAGTTTCACTACTTGTTATAGGGTTTGTAAGCGAACAGCATGGATCCTGATCAGACTGCACTGATGCGCATGGATCCTGATCAGACTGTGCAGATGCGCAGGCTGGTCTGGATCTACACTGGTCACAAACGCACTATGTTGGTTTTGTCTTGACGCCGCTCTTAATGTAACTCTTAGCCAAACAACCTGAAACTCTGACACTTGGATTTCAAGCCCTTGGTTAAGGCACCACTTTACAGAAATTGTCAAATGTAATTTTTATAATTCCTGCTAAAATGCACCCATGACAAGGTTTCTCATGTATTCTGAGAGCACTGAAAATAAGGTTATATTATAAGAACTGTGAACAATTAATATGGTTATTTGAAAAAAAATCTTTTTTTTTTTTTTTATAAACTGAACAATATCAAACCTGCAATTGTCAGATCTTATTGATTAGTTATTATCAAAGTTTTACACATTTTTTCCTCCTTATTTGTATCAATGTATATTTGCAGTAAACAGGAAAACGATAGATTTAGCACTGGCAACAATTTTCTTATATTATAGACACTGTTAAGACTAATAAGAATTGCATAGTTCAAGGTCCTAGTCCTCTAAGAGTCATTGCATGCCCTTCAAATTTTGCAAAACACATTTACTTTATATTTGCAAACTGCATACAATAAAGTTTTCAATTTCCATCATTTTATCAGCAATGCTTTATAATGACAGTTTACCTATTTCTTAAAATATTTGGGAAAACCCCCACTTACATCGGCATCATTATCTGGGTCATCTGAGGAATCCCCAACACTCTCTGAGTCTGAATAGAGTAGTTTCCCTTGATACGAAGGATGTCCTTGTTCTTGAACCCATTTTAGACCTCTGCTTCTAACTTTACTTGGAATTGTTTGCCTGTATGCATCTGCTTGCAACTTATCGCTTTGATTATTGCGAAAAACAATGCTGTCTCCAAGATCTGCTTCAGTTTGTTTTAAAACGGTCCCGAATGCACTTGCTTTTGAATGGAAATACCACAACACTGCAAAAATGACAGCAAATATTACACCTTTGCAAAAGTGTTTGATCTTTAAATCCTTCATTCTTTCTACTCAAAGTTAACCCATTCCTTGCTAGACACACATACAATTGATTGCGGATATGTACATTGTTTGTTTTTATCAGCTGCATTGTCACGTGCATGCACGAACTTTGACCTGATATTAGCAGGTCTAGAAACTGTACCAATTAACGGATTCATACAAGTGCTCTCATCTCGCCTATCGCAAATATGCCATACTAACCATACTCCTGCAGCTATGACTTTAATCAAATACACTGGTTAAAAATATTTTTAAAAAATAGATCGCATAAGTAAAATTTCTGGATAAATTCCTATAGCATAAATTATTACGAGTAGGCCTAATCCAGAGAGCTGATCGAGGCATATTATTCATCAAGCTTGATGGACATTGAAATATTGTCCTTATTCTTAAAAAAATCAACCTCATTTGAAAATCACTATTTTTTCGACATAAAATTGAAACGTTTAAACTTTACAAAATATTTTAAAAAGAGGCAAATAGTGGTTGCAACTTACTATACAGTAGTGATCAAATGTGTTTCAAAAAGCGGCTGCAAGTTTAGTGCGCACAAGATTAAAGAAATCTCTTATTAATCTAAGATGAAATAATGGTATGTCTTTATCTACATCTACATCTACATCTACATCATACTGCTTAACAATCAATTATGATTATGACTAGCAGGCGCGTTGTCAGGGAACTGTTAATAAAAGAATTTATTTATGTGCAAATTAAAAAGTTAAAAGAATAAAAGTTCTACAAGACTATTAATTTAAAAACATAGTGTGCAGTTTAGAATTTATAGAATGGGTCAAGCCTCTCAGTAAAGATGTTTAAACTGGGGCTAGACTGAACTGTTAGGGGAAGGCTATTCCAAAGACGTATGCTCCTAGGAAAGAAAGAATTTTGATGATATTGTGTCCTCGAGTAGGGTATCAGGTAGTTCAGATTTCTTGTTTGAGTAAGGTGTTGGTGGTCTACAAAAACAATGTTGTTTTGGATTTTATACATGTTGCTCTTTTACTTGTGTCGAAATTACGTAAAAATATACAACATAACTTGAAAACTAATTCGAATTTAGTACCGTCCAACCAAATGCACGGTATTTTCTGGACGGGTTTTAAACAAGATTTCATAGAAACATGACGCCAAGTTATAAATTTGAGGTAAAATATATAAGTTTGGTTTACTATATCATTAAAATTTTGCTATGTTGACATTTTTTGATAAAATAAACAATGAAAATCTTACTTCATGTGTACTTAAATTACATGAATACAAATTGTCAACATTTTTATTACAAGTATCAGTAAAGTCGGATATTGTTTTATTCGGACAAAATAATTATGAAAGGCAAATCTGTTATAAGATAGATAGAGATATAAAATGTTATGTTCTTTGTGATGATTTTTATAAAATGTCACTTTACTTTTATTCTGGTTTCCCATGTTATACATCAAGAAAATTAATATTTCTCGTCAATTTTTTATCAAATTTTTGCCAAAATGCTGTTCATGCTTTTTTAAGTTTTTGTAGAACAAATTAGAAAAAAAATCTTTCTTTTATTTCTTAGATAAGTTGCATCGAGCATAAACAGCGAACATCATAGCAACCAAAAGTAAGACATAGATTGAGCACACACATTGAATCTCTAAGTAAATTGTATGTTAATAACATAATAAAATGTTTCTGGTTTCTCTATGACAAGACCAATTGATATGACTACCTTGATTTCCTCAGAGTGTGCTGCGATGTACATGTGAGAGTTTTTTGGGTTTTTTTTATGGAAAATCACTCAGAAAATGTATTTCTTTTCATGTCTGATTTGTATTACATAATATGTGAGCAGAAATTTCATGGAATTTTATTGTCTTTGGACAATGTCTTCCAGTTGATCAGGTTGAAATTGACCAATTCTCATTAATGACCTTACATTCAAGGTCAGATCTATGAATTTTGCTTGATTTGTGCTATAATTGTGTTATTTATGAATGGATTGTCTTCATCAATTGATTCATATCCTGAGTCAATGAATTTAAGATTTTGAATTTACTAGCCCAAATTACAGTTTTGAATTTATTCTACTATATATTCAACTAAATTTTCTTCAAATTTTCACTGGCCCGGACTAATTTTCACTGGCCATAGGCCACCAGGCCAGTGCTAAATTCGATGACTCAGTGTCTATTCTTGGATTTGAAAAAACTGGGGATTTTTATGGAAAAGTGAGAATTTATGACATTTACTGGTTTTTTTTTCTTCTTTCTCTATGTAAAATTTTCACCCTGCCTCTGAAAAAATAGGGGGGAATTCTCAAAAAAAGGAGTGAATCCCCCCATCCCCCTGTCTAAAATAGACACTAATGACTGCATACCTTGACACAACAATTCTTTGGACAAGACCATCAAGAAGACCCAACTGACTGTACCATCACTGATCAATGACCTTGACCTTGAACTGATGATGACGGAAGGACGGAATGATTGAACAGAGTAACACTATATACCCCAGCCATTTTATGAGGCTATCCAGCTAGCAGACGGAATGTTCGTGGTTCTACTTAGATGCCCGTTTGTGTCTGAAATAATGCACGGAAGGGCACCTGAGGTCTAAATCCTCCACCAGTAAAGCTGGAGCATAGCCAAATGACCTATACTGTGTCGGTGTGATGTAAACCCAATTAAACAAACAAACATTTGTTAGTTTTGTCATTTTGCATACCTTAGTATAACAGACTTACTAGGAGCATTATTTCTTAATTTCAATTGCAATAGCTCTTTCAAGCCAGATATAGTTAAAATTAAAGAAAGCTTTAAAAATTACTGACCTGTGATTGGCATTATTCCTGACTTTTGTTTCAAATTTTGTAAAATGGCCTTTTGTTATTTCTGTATTCAGAATGGGTAAGTTTGTAGATACAAAATATGTATAAGTATAAAATATTCATTTGTATAGTACTTCATTTAAACATTATCTGAAGAATTTTCAGCTCGACTATTCAATAAGAATAAGTAGAGCTATTGTAGTCACCCGAGCGTCGGCGTCGGTGTCGGCGTCGGCGTAACCACATATGTTAAAGTTTTTGTAATAGTTTAAATATTTTCAAAGTCCATTGACATATGGCTTTGAAACTTTGCACACTTGTTCACCATCATTACCCCAACCTGTAGACAGGAGGAGGTAACTCTATCAAGCATTTTGACAGAATTATGCCCCTTTTTCGACTTAGAATTTATGTTAAAGTTTTTGTAATACAATGTACCTCAAATATTTTCAAAGTCCATTGACATATGGCTTTGAAACTTTGCACACTTGTTCACCATCAAAAATTTGCCTTTTTCTTTACTTACAAAATTTTACCTTTTAATCAAGGCTTTTTTTACTATCAAGCACTAAGAATAGTCGAGCGTTGCTGTCCTACCGACAGCTCTTGTTAGCTTGACTAATGATTTTGAGGAATAGTTGGGCTATCCTGATGGCACAGGTCATGCATCAGGATTGGTATAACACTTTGGTTAAAATTATAGGTGCAAGTTTTTGTTAAACTTCATATCTCATTCATTGGCTTGTAACTTCACATATGTCTTTGAAATCATAGTTGTAGGTGACCAGCCTTTTCCAGTTGATCTGGCATTGTTATTGACTGAATTATGGCCCTTTGTGAAGTTAAAAAATATTAGTTTTACATGCCAAAAAAGTTTTTGTCAAAGTTTTACATGAGACATCCATCTTCAAAACTACTGAAAGTTTTCACTTGAAACTTAATACCTTTTCTTTTCTCGGGATGGATTATTATAATTAAAAGTCACCATCCAAGCCCCACAGCTCTGAGTCTCTGACATGGAATTTTAGGGATAAATGACCCTTTATGAACTAAAAAATATTTGTGGTTAAAGTTTTGCCTTCAAAGCTACTGATTGTATTCACTTAAAACATTATTAATGTCTTTAAAGTTATAATCACTTCCCAAGATGAATAACTCTTGCATGAACTTAATGTAAAACTTACCTCAGTTTTGTTAGTTACCCTGATTCACTGCATTTTGTCAGTTATAGCCAACTCTGCTAGTAACTTAGCAAGATAGCTTTCTCATAAAAAAAGGTCATTGTCTCGATCCCAACAGGGGTAAGGGCAAGTCATCAGAAGTCAGTGAATTTAACCACAGCGTCAAATCATTAGAATTCAGTGACTTTAATCACAGGGCCAAGTCATCAGAAGTTCGTGACTTTAACCATAGGGGCAAGTCATTACAAGTCAGTCATTTTAACCACAGGAGCAAGTCATCAGAAGTCAGTGACTTTAACCATAGGGGCAAGTCATCAGAAGTCATTGACATTAACCACACAGGCAAGTCATTGAAAGTCTGTGACTTTAACCATAAAGTCTAGTCATTAAAAGTCAGTAACTTTAACCATATAGTCTACTCATTAAAAGTCAGTGACTTTAACCATATAGTCTAGTCATTAGAAGTCAGTGACTTTAACCATATAGTCTAGTCATTTGAAGTCAGTGACTTTAACCATATCGTCTAGTCATTTGAAGTCAGTGACTTTAACCATATAGTCTAGTCATTAGAAGTCAGTGACCTTAATCATATAGTCCAGTCATTAAAAGTCAGTGACTTTAACTATATAGTCTAGTCATAAAAAGTCAGTGACTGTAACCACAGGGACAATTCATTTAAAGTCTGTGACTTTAACCATATAGTCTAGTCATTTGAAGTCAGTGACTTTAACTACATGGGCATGTCATTAAAAGTCTGTGATTTTGACCATATAGTCTAGTCATTATGATTAGAACCATATAGTCTAGTCATTAGAAGTCAGTGACTTTAACCATATAGTCTAGTCATTAGAAGTCAGTGACTTTAACCATATAGTCTAGTCATTAGAAGTCAGTGACTTTAACCATATAGTCTAGTCATTAGAAGTCAGTGACTTTAACCATATAGTCTAGTCATAAGAAGTCAGTGACTTTAACCATATAGTCTTGTCATTAGAAGTCAGTGACTTTAACCATATAGTCTAGTCATTAGAAGTCTGTGACTGTAACCATATAGTCTAGTCATTAGAAGTCAGTGACTTTAACCATAGGGGCAAGTCATTAGAAGTCAGTGACTTTAACCATAGGGGC